TGCAACATGTTCGACAACCAGCAGATCATGATAGAAGTCATGCGCTCAATGAATCCCAACATCAACTTCTTGCCACTTAACCGTCCCCAACCGTTGGTTCCTTCGCCACTTGAGCTAAACGAAGAAGACGAAGACGAGGACGGCGATGCTGCTAATTTAAGAGGTTAAAATATATGTTTTTGTTTTTTTATTATCAACATTTTTTAGTATTTATTGATTAATTTACTTTTTACGATTGATCTTATTATTGTGTTGACTATTTTATATCAATTTTATTGTTCTACTTTATTATTAACTATTCTTCTAATTTATATATTCAATAATTAATATTATTAGTAATGTATGGCCAAAAAAAAGATAAAAAAATTATTTGTGACAACATATCTAAATTGTCATCGCAAATAGTCTATATTACTAGCGACGACACTTTGAAGCCAATGGTCGCAGAAGGTTTTAAATACTTTTACGACTACACGTAGTCGTCGCAAATAAGTTAGAACACGTCATCATCAACGACATATTTGACGGAACATTTGTGACGACTTATTCGCGACGACATTTAAAAATTTTGTCGTTGCAAATATATTATTTGCGTCGGGTTTTTTGTGACGAGTAATTTACGATGACATATCATCAAAAATAAAGTATTTACGACGACAATGACGATAATGTAGTTATTTATGACGACAGTGTCAGCTAATTAAAAACCCTTTATCATTGCTTCTTATTATTTGATTTTGTCTGTATCTATTTTTACGTTTTATTCTAGTTGTATACATGTCTCTTTCATTATAACAATGTAAATTAGAGAATGAGTTTATATGCCCCTTGTTCCCTTATGTGGCTCTTCAATAATAAAATGTCACATGTCACGTCATAATTTTTTAATTGATATGATAAGAATTTTTTAATTGACATGTCACAATTTAGAGTTTATGAATATATTTTATGAGAAAAAAATTCTGACGTCATATTAATATTATATTTTATCTATTTATTAATTTATTTGTGAGATGAAGAATAAAAGCTTCAAATACGTGTATATGATATTAATTCACCTAGCAAAAATGTCAAGGAGTTTGTACGTGTCAAATACGTGTCAGACCCCATGAAGAAAAGGAGGGGGAGGGGGCCTCCTATCAAGGGGTTTGTATGCGAAGTCCTTTCTTCTGAACCACCCTCCAAAGCTTTTAATATTGTTTCTTGTATGCGTGTGTATATTATATATATATATATATATATATATTTTTTTTTTTTTTTTTCAGTCCCTAACGTAGCATGTAATTATAAAAACGTAATATTATAATTATTGAACATAATATTGATGTTGGAGAGAAGTAACTTAGTTTTTAGATGACTAAATTTTTTAGTGTTATTTTTCTCTAACGTTGATGTTGCGTTCAATAACTATCCTGTTACGTTTTCATAACTATGTATGTGTAATGTTGGAGAACTCTAAACGATGAAAAATGAATTATTAGATTGTAATTGGTAAAATATATCTAACTATACATGAATAAATTCACCACTTGTACACTTAATGAAAAGCAAAAAGTGAGAATCTAACTTAGTTGAGAACCCTATCATATTATATACACACACACATATGAGTTTTAATAGTTACATTCACATCGTGGTTATTTATTAAATATAAAAATTTAATGATATAGTGTGTTAAGAATCCAGTCTCATTAATTATCATAAATTTTTTGAATCAACTATCTAATTTATTACGACCGTCAGATCAATATCTTACAATTAAAACAATAATATCTATTAATGGATAAATATTAGAATAACTATTAAAATCACAAATATCATTGAAAAATTATTTTACTAAAGAGAATCACATATGGGGACTAAATTGCTCATAAATTGGCTGGCCTCTGGCAACTCTTGAGGCAATGTTGTCTATGAGGAAGCATCTCCTCCAGATTGACGTTAGCCCTATTTTCAAACTTTTGATGTTACTTTGAATGAACTTTATTTTGTCTGCTGGTAAAGAAAACAAATGAAAGAGAAAGAAAACTACTTGTTTTCTTGTGGATCTACATATATAATTGGTCTCGAGTCTAAAACTTACTGCAAAAGATCAGTATCATACACACACAAACACTTGAGCCTCATTATTATAATTTTAATAAAAGTGTTGCTTTGAGCTTGTGAATGTATGTATATATATATATATATATGTCGGCCAAAGTATGCCCCACTAAATGACTCTCACTCTTCGGCCGACAAAATAGTGCGAGTGTGAGACTCTTTACACTTTGTAGTCTTTGTCCATATTTTGGTCATAAATAGAGGCTCTAATATAGAGAAAACACAATCTGTATTAAGCATATAATTTGGTGCCTTATTTATAGATGTGACAAAACCAAATTCCAACTATTCAATTCTTGCAAGTTAATGAGACATTATTGGAATAATTATTGTGTTTTTTTATCATGAAAAGTGGGAAAAAAGATCAAGTGGGCTGTAAGTAAGTTTTTTTCCTGGTCTCTGTTTATTCATCTTTCACGTGGTTTTCCTAGTGAAAAATTAATGCAGATTTGGTTTAGATTGCAATGTTTTTGAGAAGTGGTCCACAAAATCAAAAGGTTGAAAGATTCTTGTAAAAGGGTCTTACAAAAGACAACCAAAATATTTGGTATTGATGCTGAGAGATTGGCCTGATTTTTGTATCCATGTTGAGCAACCAATTGTTGGGTAATATGAATTTGAGTGCAATGGTTGAAATTGACATTTGTGAAGAGAGGAAAAAGAAAAAACAAGGCCCTTTTGGTTAAAATCTCTTGAGAGCCAAAATAATCTCATTCTCATGTATATATACAGATTAAACTGAACTAGCTAGAAGCAAAGGAAAGCAAAATGTCTTGCTTTTCTATTGTAATTCTATTTCTTTTTCTTTTTTTTTCAATCAAATATGTTTGTTTCTTTCCTCAAGAAACAAAGGAATTTCTTTATCTCCATCCAACACCACTTTCGGAATCTGGGACTATAGGAGAAAAATGAAAGGGATCAGTTCAGGCTCTTGTCAATAATTATCAGATATTCATACACGTCAAACACACAATCTTAGTTTTTAAAGACTAAATGTGGACATAAATAATCGAATATCTAACAAATAAAAGAGATAGTAATTATAGTAATTAAATATGTCTTATTTTTTGTAAAGAAATCCGTGTATTATTCCCATATAGATAACTCCTTTTTTAGTAGAGGAATCCCATATATCAGAAGGATGATTTCTGTCAATTAATACACGTGCTAGGCCTTCCAAATCAACTACCAAGAGAAAAATGGAGCAAAATTTCCATCCAAATCTCTGTTGATCTTAAAAAAAAAAAAAAGATTATAACATAAGTAAAATGGAATATGTACAAGGGCCATCGCAAGGACAAAGTACAAAACATCTTAACCACAAGAAATCGATCTGCATTAGAAGTAACAGAAACCCAGCAGCCAGTGACTTAAATGAAAAACCTTATCCAAAACTGATGATTTCCTGTACACAATTGTAACTTCATTTTCATACGTACATGCATGCTACGTTTGTACGTATATAATTAAAAACGAAAAGAACACACACACACACACACACACACACACATATATATATATAGAAGATCCTATAATGGAACACTCCATTAGGGTCGCATCAAACCATTGATCGTGACTGTAGGATTTAAATCACAAGGTGTATATTGTTTAAGATTGCATATTATAAAAAATTTTCGATTATAGTGTTACACCAGCTTTAGAAGTACCATCATATTTAAATTGTACGGTTGAGTTGGTGTGTGCCTCGCTGTAGAATATATATATATATATATATATATATATGGAGGATTTAACTTAGTGAAATGTACAAGGACTATTGGGGTAATAATACAACATTGGACATATAAATTATCATCCGTACAGCATCTCACGATGGGAGCAAGTCACAAGGTTTGCCTGATAAGCAAATCATGATATGGAGGTGGGGGTTCCCATGTCAAGCAGACCATCAGAACCCCACTACATTGATGAACGTCACAGATTCAAACACGTCATTAAACACATTTTGATTCTTAAGATTTGATTGTATCAGAAAACTGCCCCACCATATTTCACATTTTCTTGGGGAAAAACTGACCCATGCATTGGTGAAAACCACGTACCAATTGGGTAAATCCAACAATGATGGCCATAATAGTTGAGACAGAGATGATGCATAGGAACCTTTTAGCACAAGCCCAAGTTCCTGTGGACTGTGGAGTCACAAAAGCAGTGAAAGATGACCTAAAAGAGAAACAATTTATAATTTTTTTTTTTTTAAAAAAATTTTTAAGTGGGGGCAAAAATAAAAGAAAAGAAAAAAGAGGACATTTAAGAGAGAACCAATGACCCATCTACTTCTGCATCACATCTTTTTTTCCAAGCTTTTCAAAAAAATGCACCTCTCTCATTTCAAGCCAACATGTTTTCTCATTAATAAGGGTGCATGTGTGAAGAAAGTAGTTAGTTGTGGTGAAAGAACAGTACTAATACTAATAATCAAAGCCACTTTTATCCATGACACATCAAACTTTTTTGTTCAATATTTTTGTTTGCTCTTCGAGTAACATTTTTTTTTTTATGACTTTCTCTTTTCCACTAGTATATTAATAATAATAATAATAAAACTAAACTTACCTTGCTAGTAGAGATTTTTTTTAAACAGTTAAATCTGTACTAAATTATGTCATTTTTTCCTACTTTTTCATTTTAATGTGACTTTAACTTAATGTAAACATGTTCTTCTTTATTTTTTTTTTATTTTTTTTTAACTCTTCATAGATTTCCTTGCTACTTACCTTCATGTAAAGGGACCCAATAATCTTTCTATTTATTACAAGCTGTACGAACCACACTCCTACTTCCACACACACACACACTCTCTTTACTCTTGAGCCTTAAGATCTCTCTCTCTCTCTCTCTCTCTCTCTCTCTCTCTCTCTCTCTCTCACCCTGCATTTAAGCATAGACAATCATTCCATTTTCTCTATATAATCCCTTCACTTCCTTTCTTCCCCTCCTAGCTAGCAAGCTAATTTCTCAAAGCTGATCTTTTTTTTTTCCTTGTCTCATATATTATAAATTTCATGGCTTGCTTTTTAATCTTTCTTCTAATGATCCTCAATATTATGGTTCCTTCAAGCAATGCAGATTGGCCACCTTCTCCTGGTTACTGGCCAAGCACTAAATTCAGAACCATTAGCTTTTATAAAGGCTATAGAAATCTCTGGGGTATTTCCCATCAAAGAGCTGACCAGAATGCATTAACAATCTGGCTTGACAGTACTTCAGGTACTCTTTTCTCACCTCAACATATATATATACACACACACACACACACATATATATATATATATATATGTATATGTGTATATGTGCATGAAATTTGTTCACTAATTCCTTGGTGGGTTTATATATATATATATAACAGGAAGTGGGTTCAAGTCAAATCGTCCATTTAGATCAGGTTACTTTGGTGTCAACATAAAGCTCCAACCTGGTTACACTGCCGGAGTTATAACAGCTTTCTATGTGAGAATTTAACTTTTTTGTTTTGAAAAAAAAAATTAAAGGCTTATTTATTTACTAAATCAATGTGTTTAATTAGGACAATTTTTAGTCTAGTTAAATACTAAAAAATTTGAAAAAAAAAAAAAAAAAAAAAATTTGGCAGCTTTCAAACAACGAAGCTCATCCGGGGTTCCATGATGAAGTGGACATTGAGTTCCTTGGAACAACATTTGGGAAGCCATACACATTACAAACCAATGTTTACATAAGAGGAAGTGGAGATGGTAAAATTATTGGCAGAGAAATGAAGTTCCATCTTTGGTTTGATCCAACACAAGCTTTCCATCACTATGCTATTTTATGGAGTCCTAAGGAGATTATGTAAGTTAATTACAGTTTTATCTACTATATAAACGGTAAACCTAATTACTTATTATGTATATTAATTTAAAGGCCAGATTGGGTGATGATGAAAAAAATATCTTGAAAAAAAATAACTTTTTTGCTTCAACTAAAATGGAAAATATGTCTAGTCATACTCCTTTTGATTTAGTAATATGTTTTCTTTCAATTCACTATAAAACAAAAGGCACAAAAGTATTTTATAAGGACTCTAATATAAAGGAGCCAATTGATTTTTACAGCGCGGCAATTATAGATAGAATCAAGATCACATGGCTAGGATACACTTATCAATAAAATTTGCACAAATGTACAAAAGTGGATAAATAAAGTTTTTCTTGCTCCACTAGTACAATAATACATTGCATATTGTACCAAATCTAAATAACACCTATAGTTAATTATATTAAAAATAAAAATAAAAATAAAAACACCTAGTAGTACTATATTTGGCATAAAACTTTTTCGACTGTTGTTGGTAGGTAATTAATTGTCTTATTAGTATAATAATGATATAAATACACTTTTTGGGAATTAATTATTATTATTTCAGATTTCTTGTGGATGATGTGCCCATAAGGACGTATCCAAGGAAGAGTGCAGCAACATTTCCACTAAGGCCAATGTGGATCTATGGCTCAATATGGGACGCCTCATCTTGGGCTACAGAGGATGGAAAATACAAAGCTGATTACAGATACCAGCCATTTGTTGCTCACTACACGAACTTCAAAGCGGGGGGCTGCTCCGCCTACGCGTCGCCCTGGTGCCGCCCGGTGTCCGCCTCTCCGTTCCGGTCCGGCGGGCTGACCCGGCAGCAGTACAGGACCATGAGGTGGGTCCAGCGCTACCATATGGTGTATGACTATTGCAAGGACTACAAGAGAGACCATTCTTTAACTCCTGAGTGCTGGGGTTAAATAGTGAAAAAAAAAAAAAAAAAGATTGTTACAATTTACCATTATTATGCTAATTATGTTAGCATTATTATTTGGAGTTTCCCCTCAATGTTCACTTCTCTTTATGATTCCTTTTCTCTTCTCTCCCAAGAGGCTTCAGAAGAAATAACCAAGCTAAAAAAAAAAATTAAAAAAAAATTGTGAGTTTATTCAATTTTTCTGTATCGATAATTGGTGTAAATGTCCATTTTGTTTTGTTGTAATTATCAGATTAAAGAGAAGAAAAAAAGTTATTTTATTTGTATACGGAGAAAGAGAAGTCCAAGGCAACAGTTGGGGCCATGGATTATTGAGTGAAGTGTTTCTAATTGTACCTGCCACGCCATGCCATGTTATTGTTCTTCCTTGATGCCAAGAAAAGCACTTAATAAAGCAAAATGATTTTTTGTTGTGCCCCTTTTTTTGTTGTTGTTTTTTATTTTTTTATTTTTATTATTTTTTGCGTGCAAAATGAATGCCACACAAGATGGGGCAATTTATTGTTGGTCATTTTCTATATCCCTTATCACTTCCATACATGATATCCAATCATATATAGAATGAAAAGTGGAAATATATTTAAATACATATATACATTATTTATATATTTCTGCAGCACGGTTCTCAAGAGTCATTCAATGGTGTGGATGGATCAATAGAACTAAAAACGGAATCAAATCCAATCCAGATAGTAATATCCACAAAGCTGACTGCCGGAAAGCTCTGACTCCCTACTTTCCTGAAACCAAAGCTTTATTCAAGCCAAACTGACTGAATTAAAGCTAAGAGAACCACTTGGCCTCGTTCATTTCACCGATTCGAGTTTTCAGTTTTAAATCATTTCACCGATTTGAGTTTTCAGTTTTAAGTTTTTACAGTAAAAAATTCTCAGAAAATGTCACATCTAATTTTTTTTTTTTTTTGCTACAGTGAAAAGCTCTCAGAAAATGTCATATCTCAGTTCGAATTAAAAATTCGAATCCGCGAAGTGAACGAGACCTATATTTATTCATTTAGGGATCCCTTTTTTTTTAATTATTAGGGGAGAGGGATCCATAATTTTACTATATTATGGAAATAAGATTTTGTATAGATAAAATATTTAACAAATTTAAAATTAGTATTGATCAACATTTTATAGTTATCGAATGAGTTCTCATACTTTGAAAGAATTGCGTATATATTGTTTGAATTTCATCTGAAAATTTTGCATTATAGTTCCAAATGAGAGTAATATTAGAACAAGAGAAAAGGAAATAATCTAACTAAGGCACATTAAAATAATGTTTTAAATAGATATAAAACTGACAAAATTGATGTATTAAAAGTATCCTTACTGATCCTAATTCCTATATTAGATCCATCCATGCATATTTCTTTTTTTTTTTTTTGTTACTTTAAGAAAATATATCCAAGTTACTATCGCCACCACAGGGAATGATTGTATCAAATGTTAAAGGGTAAAATGTCTGAGTCTCATATCGTTTAAATAGAAAATTTAATCACAGACAATAGTAATCACTATTATTTAACATAGTAAATAGTTAATTATAGGAGTAATGAGATTTATCCCAACTGGACTCTATCATTTGTCTAATTTTCAGTACTTCAAAATGGTGTGTAACTAATTATATTGAGTTGCGTAATTTAAAAAAATTAAAATGTTTTTTAACTAACTTCTGTATGGTTTAATGTTTGATCCCATTTAATGTCACGTTATAGTAATGATCGATCAAATACCATTTGGGACATCAAAATTTGAAAGATAATTTCAGTCTTTCCAAGTGTTTAGGCATTATCCATATGTAGCTCTAATGAAATCTGAAAAGTGAGGATGAATTACTCAGTATTTTGTGTCTTTTAAAAGGATTGGGATTCCTCAAACTCTATAATGTAGGTCAAGATTTTTTTCAAACGAGCTTATTATCTATCCTTTATTTTTATAATTAGTCACGTTACAAAGAGAAAGAGTAGTATCATTGTACGGATCCAATGCCATTGGTATGGGGTAGGGGTGGGGGACCCATAGAGGCAGAAAGTCCCATTTCTTGTTGTTCACCAGTTGAATTATTAAAACATCAATCAATGCAAAATGGGTCATTCTTATTGCAAAGAGAAAATGATTATACACTCGCACTATTCTATTCCCGGGGATAGTAGATGGTAACTATTTTATGGGCTCGTTCACTTTGTAAATTTGAGTTTTTAATTTGAATTGAGATGTGGCATTTTGTAAAAACTTTTTGTTGTAGTAGAAAAAGTTAGATGTGACATTTTCTGAGAATTTTTTACTGTAGAAACCTAGAATTAAAAACTCAAATCTGTGAAATGAACGATACCTGTATATATATATATATATATATATGTCGTACCATCTATACTTGGATTCGATAGGAGATCCTGTCTTGGAAATTATATAGTCGGTGTAATTACTACTGAAAACCAAAACCACAGAGATATATATAGAGATTGGATTTATTATTTTTATCAAACTTTGTACAAATTTTTTGTACTAATTAATTTTGGACCCCCATTTTGAGTTTTGTGAAATTAGGAACCGTACTCTATTGCCCATGCTTGTGTGCCCGTGTGTTTTTATTATTATTATTATTTTATTTTATTTTATTTTATTTTTTTTTGTGGTATTGCTCAGTCAAGGACCTCTTATCTTGTTAAAGTTAGTGGCTAGATTCTGTCTTTACCCTCTTTGTTCAGGAACAGATGTTAACCTCTCGTCAAGAAAATGATGAGGCAGACCCACAATGGGAAAAGAAAGAGAAAGGTTGTAACACAAACAGGAGAGTGAGAAACAAGCAAAAAAAAAAAAAAAGTAGGTCATGGATATTATAATTAATAAGGAAAAAAAAACATGTCTTTAATCTTTAAATGAAAATGACAAATAAGATTAGATGTAAGGGCTCTCCTCTTCAAACTGTTTGATGTATGAGTTATTATGATCCTATTCATTTTACCGATTTGAGTTTAGAATTTGAGTTTTACTACAGTAAAAAGTTCTCAGAAACAGTCACATCTAACTTTTTTGATACAGTAAAAAACTCTCATATAAAGTCACATCTCAACTCGAATCAGCGAACTAAACAGTATAACTATTTCTTCTTAAAATTACAACTGATGTTAGAGACGCGACTAAATTTTTTTAAACATCATCCAAGATTGAGTTGAGAATCTACTTTAAGCACTATTTATTTGGGTTGCTACCCTAAATTTAGGAGTCTCTTATAAATTTGTGGGCATACTCAAACAGACGGACCTAGACATTTTTTAAGGCCTAAGTCATGTAGACCCACCTTCAAGTATACTACTGCATCATGATCTTTCATGCAACATGGAGTATAACAACGAGCATAGAAGGTGTAATAGTTAGGTATTTGCTTAGCGTAGACTAGTATTATATCTTTTTATAGTAATTGTTACGTAAAATAAAATCATATTACAATATATAGCAGGACCAAAGAGAAACCCTAAAGATTAGAGCTGGTTATTTAAGCAACAATAATGCAAAAAGGACGTGGACCCAATGTGATGGCTAACAAAAGAAAAGAAAAAGGGATGAAGTATCGTTGGTGGGGAGCTATGTAGAAGCTTTGAAAAGCTTATAAAAAATGGATTGAAAAGGATAGAATGTTTCCAAAGAAATAGAAATTTGATTCGTATACGCCAGAGAAAGTGATCGATCCGTAATATATAATCTTTCACACTCACATCTGCCTTCTTCTTGTTTTGGCATTATATGAATTAATGTCATATTATTTGGTTACTTTGATTTTTGTATATGAAGATATTGATGATGTCTTTCCCATCAACTCAGTGTAGCTCAGCAGCCACAAAACTTTTTATGATGACCATTTTTAATGGAACAGTTCAATCCAATTTTGATTTTGATCTGTTCAATTATTAGCCTTGGAAAGATACCACTTTCCCAAAGCTTACAAAAGAACATATATTATGAAGAAAAGAGATATCAATTATTGTGAGGAAGGGTCATGTGAGTGACTATCATTGCTTCAATGACCCCTCTTGAAGTACCTTCAAGGACCCATTTTGTGTGTTTATATATATGTTTTGTGTGTGTGTGTGTGTGTGTGTGTATATATATATATATATATAGAGAGAGAGAGAGAGAGAGAGAGAGAGAGAGAGATGCATGACACCCTTTTGAAGGATTGATTATAAGAGGAATGATAAGGGATCATGTGAGAGGTGATCATTGTTCTAAAGGCCCCCCCTTGCTTTATATTTATTTATTTATTTAAAGGAGTAAAGGATCCCTTTTGAAGGAAGAAATTTGCATGTCACCCTTTTGCTCAATTGATGATAAGTGAGGGAAAAAAAATGAAACAAGCCAATGAAATCTATAGAATCTAATCCCTCTATCTAACGCAAGTGATTTCTTGAGTAAAATATAATGATAGAAATATGCACTTACATGATGATGGGACCAGGGAATGTTATGCCATGTGTTGTCTATTGTCGTTTATATATCATGGAGCCTCTATATCTACATTGCGATCTAAAGGCATGGGCAAATTTTAATCCTCATATCTTTTTTTTTTTTTTGTTAATGCTATTTGTTTTGTTTTCACTAGGTTGAAGGAAGCAGGAAAAGAATTTTGTGGGGTTCAGAAATGTTAGCCTACTCTTATATTGGCATGATTCTAGTCTTGTAGGCTTCAACATAGAGGTTGAAGACAAATGATATCTACTTCAGTTTGTGGGTGTAAGTTGGCATGAAAAAGAAGGTTTAAAGTCAACCAAAAAGTTAGGGAATATCTTCCTTTAAAAATAAAAAAAAAGAGTTGGGGAAAAACTTAGGATAATTTTCTCCTTGTGCAATGACATTTTGTTTCCATGGGAGTACTTTTTTGGTTGAATCCATGGAAGTACTTTGTGAAATAAGAATAGTTCACAATGCGAGCAAAACATAAGCGCACTACGCATTTTATCATTTAAAATTATATTTAATTGTATAAATATTATTTTCCCAAATTACTTATATTTATATTTGGATTCGTCATTTAACCTTGTCTTTTGAAATTATGTCTACATTTTTTTTATTGAAGATTGAAGATGATTGAAGATGTGTCATGGACGAAAGTTTTAGGCCTTGTTCTTTTCGAAACTCAAATTATAATTCAAATTTTTTTACTACAGTATTTTTTTTTACAAAAATTTAAATTTAACTTTTTTGCTACAATATTTTCTCTTACATAAAAATTTCTCTTTGACTTTACTTTACTTTTATTTTTATTTTATTTTATTACTATTATTATTATTTTTGTGCCCCTAAGATTATAGATTATTATATCAAAATAATGATAATTACGGCAAAGCTAAGATAAAACGATATTTATTATTCTTTGAAGAGACTCATCACAACCGACCTTAGCTCAGTTGGTAGAGCGGAGGACTGTAGTTAGCGATTGCTTAATAGAAATCCTTAGGTCGCTGGTTCGAATCCGGCAGGTCGGATTTTTGTTTTTAATTTATTTAAACAGATCCTATTATCCTAGTGATTTTATATAAGTTTGACTTTTCCTTTTTTTTTTGGTAATTATTTTCCATCACAAAAATTGATCAATATTCGTAGAAAATTAATTAGCTCCTCAACTTGGAAATCACAAACCCATAGATACAATCACAAATTACAAACACAGAAGCTATAGGTGTAAATTATGAAATTCAACAAACACAAACAATACGAATTTCACAGATAATCTTTTGACTTTTACAGTAGAGAACCAAAGTTGAATTGTAGCATTTGGTTCAGTGTCACACACAATCAGGAGGAAAAGACAGTTCATTGCATTTTGGGTCATTTTTAATGTCCCAACAATCAATTGAAAACATTTAGGCCCCGTTCACTTCACTAATTTGAGTTTAGAATTTGAGTTTCGCTACAGTAAAAAGTTCTCAGAACAGTCACATCTAATTTTTTTGTTACAGTAAAAAGCTCTCACATAAAATCATATCTCAACTCGAATTACAAACTCTAATCAGCGAAGTGAACGGACCCTTAGTACATAAATATCAATGAAAGTGAATACTTTGGGTAGGGTTTCACAGCATGGCTTTGCACCCACCAATCATCTTAAAAATATGCCGCAAGCTTTTTTTTTCTTATAAGAGAAAATTCTTCTGTGGCGCACCAAAAAAATAACCTATTGCATTGTTTTAGATTGTCACATACTCATTTTCAATGAAATTTATGTACATATTTTTTATTATTTTATAATTATTCTGAAGTGATTTGTCGCTAAGAAATATGTGGTGCCCATTAATAAAATGTTTCTTTCTCTCTTTCTTTTTTTTTCCCTCCTCCCTCACATCCAACCAAGATACCTGACTTCTTAACTGACTTGACCAAAGTGAACCCTCATGCAGGGCCAGTGAACTTTATTTCTTTTCCAATTGAAAGGAAAAAGATGGGTAAGAGGAGCCACAAATAACTTAGCGTATCTTCATAATTCATTCACATGATTGCTCTAAAGGTTATAGCAAGAAAAGAAAAAATTTTATGATATTCACAACCTCGTTACCGCGACAAAAGCTGTTAACCATCCAGCCGCAGGGGCGGGGGACGCAAAGTAAGGCTCTATACCGGAAACCTTGTTACAAAGAACGGCTAATGGCTACTTTGAGAAGTAAAATCTACTTTAACTTTTTTGATAACTCAGCTAATAACCACCTAATAAAAAAAAATATATCAACTTAGCTTAACCTCGTAATAAGTATAATATATCCCCCTTAGGGAGAAAAAGAGAACAATATGATGCATACCAGAACTAGTTATCCTACAAATATGCTCCCACCATGGGCCATACTAAGCGTAAGAAACAAGCAGGGAATGATAGACATCAGCTGTTACATCTTTCAGATACCTGCAACAAAATGAACAGGAGTTGGACAAGAATGATTGCAATTTACAAGGTACTGTGATTATTTTGTCTAATCAAACCATTAATGATGTAATGACAAATGATAAGAGCAATGATTAACATTAATGAATTTTCATGATCATAGATTGGCCGTTCCATCATGAGAAACAGGTCAGTAACACTGGCGCAGAAATGCAGAAAATGTTTGGAGGCACTAGAGATGCTAAGCACAATAACTAATAGAAGGCGGGTCCCATCTGAAAGCCCCATGCAGTGGGACCCACCTTCTATTAGTGTGTGGTGCATAACACCATCAGTGTCCCTTAGCATTATTTCAAAAATGCAGGTGAATAAGAGAAGAAACGTCACTTTTAGAGATTAGTGCTTGAATATACCACTTGGTGGAAATTAAGACTAATTTACACATTAAAATGGTACAGATAAATAACTAAACTATAAAAGTGGTACCCATCCTAATTTACACAAAAATGTTGAGCAGCTTGGTTGAGTCCAACTCGACAAGACCAAGGGTGTGGGTCACATAGGCAAGGGTCATTGGTGCGGCCCATGCCTGTGTCTATGTCAAGTTGGACCCAGCCAAGCTGCTCAGCAGTGCTCAACTAGGGAGTAGGAATCGCATTTTCCTTTAGATGCTAGGTGGAGAAAAAAGGCCCTTAAAAAGTAATTAGCAAGTTCAAATGATCTTGAACGTGGGTAATGATTTGACAAATTTAAACCTAAATCTTACCTTTCTTCACCAGAACTAGGTATGAAAATTTGCAGCATGTCACCGCTCAAACAACTAAGTAAACCCTGGTTTCGAGCATGGGTATGCTTGATGTCACGGAGAGGATACCCATCAGACTTGAAGCGCTGAAAAACTGAAAAGGCAACTCTTGCAATGTCAATTCACAAGTGCCTTCGTCCCTGGATGCAAACAACTTCTTATCCATGTGAAGGTACCAAGCTCATCTGCAAAATCAAGTGCAGATATTTCTAACCATTTTACAAGGACAACAATGCATTGAATGGTACAAAGGTAAAAAAAATAAATAAAATAAAAATAAATAAAAATAAAAAAACCCAAGCACAAGTAGGTATTACTTTCGTAAGCATATGCTTTGCAGCCATTCCAAGAAGGCTTCTTGCAAATAACAAGATTTGGTTAGAAGCATCCACATCAAATGAACGCCATCCAGCTGCAACTCCTCCTAAATATAAATCACCATGTTAAATGTTAATATTCCAGCAAAAGAGTAGAGAACATAGTTTACTGGAACAAAAAGAAAACCTAATGAAAAGAAGATGTTAAGGATTAGTAAAATAAGAAAGCACATATATTTCCTGAAAAGTTTAACATTGTAAAATTAATAGCAAATTCTGAAAACATCCACATGGTGACAGCTATAATATGTACTTGTTGAATACACCAATCAATGGGGTAACATAATTTTAGAAGTGCAAACTTGAGCTCAGATACACAAGAATTTCAATCAAAGAAGCAAAAATAAACAAATGTAATACACAAATTGTATATGACCATTATAGACACTGGTGGAGATAAGAAAATGAGAATAAGGCTCATGAGACCAGGCACACCTACATTTAATGCTCAAGACATTTACGTTCAAAAAATGAAAAGAGCAGTTAACATCAAACCTGTAACATAAAATGGCGAGAAGATGCTTGTGTACGGAATATTGGATAGAGCTTTTGTCCTACAGAATATAGAAAAATTTATATCTTAAATATCAGATTTCATCAAAATCTTAGCTCAAAAAAGAAAATTGAATCAGGGATGATTAAATTTTCAAGCCAACAATCTCATGTGGAAATGACTTTTCCTGTAAGACAATGCAAAGTCCATTCACTTGTTAAACTATTACCAGTCACAGATTTTCCTTGAGACACTCCACCAGCGTTGACTGATCTAGATGATCCTTTTGGAAGATCTCCTAATAAGCCTTCCAAATAAGTGTCCTCTACAAGTTCAAAAGTACAAAAACCAAAAGTCATCGAAGAAGGTATACAAATAAAGCACAAAAATAAAGACCAATACCATATGACTGGTCTGACCTAAAATACAGACCTAAAGTAATTAGTGTCTTCTACTGAAAAAATTCCAATTAGATTAAACTTCAACATACAGCTCTCTAACTTAGTCCTTTCATTGGTTACACAATATGCCTCATCTTTCTAAACATCTACAAAAATATGACTGCTTAAAAAGTAATTAATATAGGCAGGAAGTAGCCAAAGTCAAGCACATAAATACACCTACTTAAAACAGTGTCAAGAAGGTTTACAGAAATTTTTAGCAACACAAAACCTCTATCTGGAGCAAAAAATTGGCAGAGAGTAGTGTTTTGAAACTAATTAACGAGGGAATATAAAAACAAGAAAAGTTTGATAAACGATGAAGAAAAGAGTAGACATTCAATCACAAAAGGAATCAAGACAACGTGAGGCATATTACAAAAAACTTAAACTCATACAAAGGTGTAATGTCCTAAACGCATACAATGAAAGATAAAGCAGTTCATAGTTATAGATACCTCTCTAAGCCGTTGAACTTCCAATTGCAACTCAGCCTCTATGTTTCTCCACTTAGCTTCATTTTTACTCCAATCAGCTCGCTGCACAATATTTAAAAAATATGGCCTCACTAAACTAGCTAGCAGCTTACTAACTCCTCACCATATAATATGCTCTTCTCATGCGTGTACGTGTGTGATATGTGAGGAGATGAATTATCGGCTTCAAAGGATCATTCTTCTCGGCATGGAATGCACGAGCTACTTTTGCAATTTTACATAAGTCAGATTGCAAGATACAATAAAGCAAGTTATGAGAAATCTAAATTGTTTCTAGTAGAATAGATCCTTACCTTCTTCTCAAAGGAGACACATTTCCTCTCAAGTGACCGAATTTTTTGCACACAAGAAGACCAATCATTCCAGTTAAGTTTCTGACTTCCTTTTTTTTGTAGGATATTAAACGTATGAGCTTCATGAAATTGAAAATAACCTTTTGTGCTTCTTCTTCAACAGCAACAACACGTGATGCAAACAGTTTTCTAACATCCTTGAGTACGCATTTCCCATTGCATTGTGGACACTAGAAAAAGAAAGAATAAACGTGAAATATAATCCCCCATTGGAACGAAGTAGTTTCCAAAATCTTCATAGAAAAAATTAAAAATGTAATATAGCTGAGTTCAACTCTCGACCACATTCAAATCTTGGCCAACAAATTTAAGAAAAGAAGTATATACTAACACAGTTAGTTAGTCAAATAGTCAAAATACCTTCCCTTGATTTTTACGCTGTTTTAGCCATCTCTTTATGCAAGACATCCCATATATATGCCCACATGGAAGACAACTGTAACATCAAATGAAAAAAAAAAAAAAAAAAGCATGATTTTCCAAACAACTAATGGTTGAACATAAAATGTTCTAATCTTGTATTGGCAATGTGATAAAATTTAAAAATATATAACTAATCTACTAAAATTCGAGGCTCTTACGTCACAGGGAGTCAAAATTCTACTGAAAACAAACGAAAGCGTGAGGAAAAAAAAACGAAAGTTTCAGTAGGATTTTCCAAACAATTAATGGCTGAACATAAAAATTTCGATCTTGTATCGACAATGTGATAAATATATAAATAACATCCACTAAAATTCGAGGTTCTTATGCCACGCTGAATCCAAATTCTACTGAAGATGAACAAAAGCATAAGGGAAAAAAAATGAAATTGGAGTATGATTTTCCAAACAATTAATAGTTGAACACAAAAATTCTGATCTCGTATTGACAATGCGATGAATATATATACAAATCTACTAAAATTCGAGGTTCTAATGCCACGCTGAATCAAAATTCAACTGAAAACAAACAAAAGCTTGAAACAAAAAACTAAAAAAACTAAAATTTCAGTATGCTTTTCCAAACAATGAATGATCGAACACAAAAATTTCGATCATGTATTGACAAAGTGATAAAAATATAAACAAAATGCACTAAAATTTGAGGTTCTAATGCCACGCTGAATCAAAATTCTACTGAAAACAAACAAAAGCGTGAAAAAAAAAACAAAAACAAAATTTCAGTATGCTTATCCAAACAATTAACGATTGAACTCGGAAATTCCGATCTTGTATTGACAAAACGATAAAATATTACACAAAATGTGCTAAAAATTAGAGGTTCTCGAGTAAAATTATACTGAAAAGAAACAAAAGCGCGAGAAATTTGGCACCAGATATGATGATCGCCATCGCTAGTCCACGGTTCCATGCAAAAAAGGCCGTCAATTTGGGTGCCGCTCCACTCATTCTCTTCAGAGCTCTCATCTCCCGACGAGCACACTTCGCCTGCTTCACGTATTCTCCGCTTGTGGCTGTCTCCCTCCGAATGGACTTCGTTCCGCAATTCTTCGTCCCCCAATTCTTGTAAATACGCCAAATAGGCTTCTCCTTCTCCTTCTCCGTCTTCTTCTTCTTCTTCTTCGACGAAAATCGGCGCCGCATCGTCGAGTTCTCCGTTCTGGTTTTGTGGCGATTCGACGCCGGAAAAGAAATGGTCCGCCATTAGAGCGTGAATTCGAAGGATTTCTCACACTCTCCCTCTCTGGTTTTGGTGTTGGAGCAGAGAGGATTTGTCAGCGTAATAATATGACTGATGAAATGAGGCGCGCTTTTTCTGTTCCATTTTAAGTTTCTTCTTTTTTATATAGTTAATTTCAATTTTGACCCCTTGAACACTCATTTTCTCCTTTCTTCTCTAAATTTTTAAACGTATGTTTAATTTGTTGATTTAAATTTTTAATTTGAATTAAAATGTAATTTTATATAAAACAATTTTATTATAATAAAAAAATTAGATATAATTATTTCTGAAAATTTTTTATTATAACAAAATTTAATTTTAAACTTAAATTAGTAAAATAAATTAGATTTTAAGTGTGATACTGCTATTATTAGAGCTTTACAAATATTACACAATCAGTCCTTTGTCTAAAATTGTTTAAAAAATGGAGGGAATGAACACGTGAAAAGGGTCCCTCCCACTTTTCCCATTCAAATCGTTGTTCTAACAAAGCGTTCTTCGACATTATTGTGGGGAAAGAACAAAATTTTAGTCCGCTCTCCTTCCCTCAATAATGAAATTTGGGGATTTAGAAATTTTGCCTCCATATTAGATAATTTAGGCCAAGAGAATTATCAATTACGTTATAACAACCTTAGCCGCATCAACTGCGTTAATTTGTTAAAGGTTTTGTGAGATAATGCAACATTTGTAAAATTTAGATACCAGTGTGATATTTAAAAGTTAAGAAATAAGCATAAAGTGAGATAATGAGCACTCACTAAGGGTTAAAATTGAAATTAGTGTTTGGCATGAGAATTTAAATCAAGGTGATTTTAGTTAATTAAAATTATAATTTATGATTTAAATTTAGGGTCTAAATCATAATTCTGGAACCAGAATCAGAATTAAAAGTTTAAACCATTCAAAATTAAAGAAGGAGATGGTTTTATTTTTCAAAGTGGTTCTGATTTAAAACATAACATCATGATTTAAATTTTAAATTAAATCTATTTAAATTAAACACTGATTTTTAAGAATTATTTTTGACTTTTTACAAACAAATAAAAATTTAAACTAAAATCATGATTTCAATTCTAAAATTCTCAACGCAACCTTTCTAGAAAGTAAAATTTTTAAAATAAAAGAAATCAGTTGGTAAATGGCTGGCATACAAGCCACACGTCGTTTTTCCTTCTTAGCTCCGCTGAAACCTCCAAACATAAAACGACAACAAACGTTTTCCAAGTGGAAAAAATACTTATTTTCGTCAATATCAAATAATCAAATAATAAGATCATCGCTGAATGTTGCTGAGGCATACAGTAAGGAAGACGACGGCGAAAATGGCTCGGAGCATCTCATACATTACTGAATCTCAGCTTCTCTCTCTTAAACGCCGCCCAAACATCGCCATCATAGATGTCAGGTCTTATATTTTCCTCACTTTTCTCTCTCTTTCTCTCATTTTTTCGCTTTTTTTTCTCAATTGTCTATGGTAGAAACTAGAAAATGAGTTACAATTTTGAAGGAAAAAAAAACTAAAAATTGGGTACATATTGAATTTGAAGAGACGAGGAAAGGAGCTATGATGGGCATATAGCAGGATCTTTGCACTACGCGAGTGATTCTTTCTCTGATAAGATGTCCAATCTCATTCAAGATGTCAAAGGCAAAGACACCCTTGTCTTCCATTGCGCTCTAAGCCAGGTTTTAATTTTAATTTGGGAATTTAGTTGCGGATTTTATTTAATGGGTATTCTTCAAAATTTGTTTGTTTTTTTTTTTCTTCTGATATTTAAACGTTCAATCGTACCTGAGAGAGATTACCCAGAAAGCCTTAACCTGTTACACAATTAATTTGATTTTTGAGCTAAGTTTGAAATTATGGAGGGTTTGGGATTAGCTTATCTTGTTTTAGAGTAATTAATTTGTTAAATAGGATGAATGCTTAGGGAAAAGATGAATTGTATTAGAATCCATATTTTAGGTGCAAACACATATGAGAGATTTTTTTTGGTTTGGGCATGTTTATTAAACCGTAATGGATGGAAAAGTAATAGCTTTAGAAAGAAAAGTAAAGGAATAAGAGTGGGATATTGGTTCTTTTTTGGGGCGTTCGGAAAGAAAAGTAAAAGAACGAGAAAGTGTTTACTTACATACCAGATAGTGGAATGGGAAACAATCCAATTCTCTTTATAGTGGTTACTAAATTTATAAATTGAAATCTTATCAAAGCGATTACTACTTTTAATATAACTAAATAATTATTGGCCTGCAACATGTGAACTTATCAAAGGTATACAAGTAAACACTAAGAGGTCTCGAGATTGACATTCCCTTTTCTCATTCCCTATATTGTATGGAGCTCGCCAAACTACCGATTCTAATTTCGTAAGCATTCACATGATAAAATAGGAAAGGAAAACACTCTTGCCCTACCGTCTTCATGTGAAGACATGGTTTATTCTAGTACTCCAATTGATCATTTTTATGATGAACTACTCAATGACATTTTCCCATATGTAATGTAAGATTACAAATTATTCTAAAAGCTAACTTACTCTAGTGGGAGGTGGGCCAATATTGGCCTTTTCACTTCTGATAACAAGATAGTTCAGAGTTTGTATATTTTGATATCAAATTTTCTGCACAGAGCTCAGTGCCAATTTCTGTCTTGGTGTTTCATATTCAGCCACTGGAAATATTTGGCATATCCTTCCTCAATCTCCTTGTAAGATTGCACTAGGTACCGAATTTTATGTGTACTTGTTTAGGTTTGACATCCAATATTTGAGACTCGAGAGTGCTTCTAATTCTAGTAGTTCTTTTAGTATCTTAAACCCAGAAGTCTTCAGGCTATAACTTAAATGATATTCTAAACTGTCTCGGCTTTTCTCATATCCTGTGATCCTATCTTCCTCTTTCTTTGTGGTGTCGAATACCAAATCATTGAACAAAATGGTGCAAGGTTTTGTAGGAGTGGCGCTTTTGATACCAACTCACATGGTGGGTGAGTTGTCATCTTTCAACTGATAAATGTAACTTTTTAATACAAAGTGAATACCGTACTAATAAAAGTATGACAACTCATACTTGGGATAAAAGTTTGGACCCTTCGCATTATTCTTTTCTTAAAAGGTCTACTTATGGATACAAGTTATTCATAGTAAGACTTTGTTTATATTGTAGGTTCGCGGCCCAACTTGTGCGCGGAAGTTAGTAAATTATTTTGAGGAGGTGAAGGATGATGCAGGGATTAAAAACGTCTTGGTTCTCGAACGCGGCTTCAATGGCTGGGAAGCCTCCGGTCGACCTGTTTGCCGCTGCAACAAGAAACCGTGCAAAGGTGAGAGCACATCAGAAGTTGCATAGCTGCCATCTTTGATAGAGAAGAAGATTATGATGATGGGATGAACATTTAGAATTTACATATATTGTATCTGCCTACAAAAGTGCGTGCTTAAACGACATTATTCACTTCCAACTGATATAAAATACAAAAGTAGTTTTCTGATTCAGCGTTTCTTCCTGCAATCTTCTTAACATATGATGTATCATGTCATATATTGTAAGGTTGGAGGATGGAAGCAATGGATTGTCATGAGTTCTCGGTATTTCCATGTTTTAGGGATGAAAGGAAGATTAGAATTAATAAATAAACGCACACGCACACATATATAGAAACTGAAATATTGTTATAAATATGGATCACCATTTTCCAACATTTATGAGCTATTAGTAATACAGTTAATGGCTTCTTACATTATTATCTCTTGTGTTTTTGTTAAAATTATAGAGATGCCCCCATTCAGTGAAACATGTTACATTGACGACCGCAACACTCCCTTTTGGTTGGTTGATCAACTGTTACGAAAATAATGTGTTCCGCGTATTAAATGTTTTTAAAATATCAAAACTACCCCTCTCTACATTAATTTTCTTTTTTCCAAACTGAATATATGGTTGAAAAATCACTTTTTTATTGTTATTTAAAAAAAAAAAAAAAAGGAGATGTGTTCATTTCACAACTCAAATCATAACTTAAGTTATGACTTTAGTTGTGTATGTGAGAAAAAACATTGTAATAAAAAAATTAAATTTAAATTTTTTATGATAAAAAATATTGTAGCAATAAAACTTGAATTGCTACTTGAGTTGTGAAATGAACAGGTCTTTAAGTGATTATACATACTTGTAACTGTAATTTCCACTTTAATTGCAAAAAGAATTTGTTCCTTTTTCCTACCAGACTCCATTTTTAATAAGTAATATAATTAATTTCAAAAATTCTCTACGAACTATGATCATTGTAATACTTTACTCTCTAAATTTTAAAAAGTAACATCCGTCTTCCCTGAATTTTATTCCGTTAACAATTTTTCCCCTTCTGTTACAATGAGTGACAGAAATTGCACGTGTCACTTATTTAGTGAGAATTAAAAGTACAATTACGGTTATACCCTCTGAAAATGTTAAAAATAATAAGAAAAAACAAAGAAAATCCTCTCTCTCTCTCTCTCTCTCTGATTTTCTTTCTTTCTAACTTCCATTTTTTCCAATTTCTAATTTCTACGGTATGTGTGCGAGTCTCTCTCTCTCTGCTTTCTCTCTCTAAACCAATTGGATAACACGAGGCTCCTTCTTCTTCTTCTCCTTCTCTTGTTCTCTCGTAAAATTCTAGGGCAAACTTTAAGCCACAATTTTCTTCTCCACCCCGCAATACTTTTGTTTTAATCTTCATAAGTTAGGGATTCATTTATCTAATTCTTCCCGATTTACCCTTTTTTTTCTTATTTGATGTTTTCGGGTTTTAATTTTTGAGCCATTGCTCTTTCTTTGTGATTGTTATTTTTGCTTATTATATGCAATTGGTTTCTTAATATTTTAATTTTAGATTTTATTTTGCTCTATTGTTCTTTATTGGTAGATTAATTTCATTGCTAGTTTCAAAACAGTTTTAGTTTTGTGAAAGTGGCTTGATAGTGAAGAAAATTTATGTACGAGAGATTTAATTCCAAAATTAGATTTCAGTGTAAGAGATCTGGTTTCAGAATTAGTCCAGAATTACCTTCCTCATATGGGTTATGTGCCTTACACGTGGCGAATTCCGTCACTCATTATAACAGAAGGGAAAAATTTGTTAACGAAACAAAGTTCAAAAATAATAAATGTTACTTTTTAAAATTCAGAAGGTAAAGTGTGTTACATTCAGAGGAATTTTCAAAATTAATCCTAAGTAATATTGTAGGGTAGTTGATAGATGTAACATTTTTGTCCACTTGACATTAATGTTTCACAATGATTGGATCCCAATTTGGGATGTCTAGCGCTTTACTTTTTTTCTACCGGTAGGGTGAATCAGATGGCTCACATTAAAATTTAGGAGGAGAATACATAGTCTTGCGCACATCTAATTACAGCCTGAAAAGGTCAATATAATTACAAAAATAACCCTTAGTTTTATTAAAATACAATATCACACCCTATATTTTATATAATAACAAAAACAACATATTTCACAAACTCCTCCTAAAAATTTTTTTTTAATTAATTATTACAGATTGCTCTCATAAGAACAATTATTTTTAATAACTTATGATATTAATATTCACTTTAATAACAAAAACGAAAATACTTAATAGTTATTTTACAACTTATATACTAATATTCACTTTTATAACAAAAATGAAAATTCGTTTATTTCTCAAAGCTCTTAAAAAGGTAATTACAATATTATTACACCATTTATAGTTGTTCTAAATGTTAATTTCTTAATAATTTAAGAACAAAACACATCAAAATATATATTTTTTAAAAAGTAAACTTCAAACCCATAACTATGACATCTCTCTGGATGCCACAACCCTCAGCCATGTGAGTCTAGCCGACGACCGCCAATTATGGCAGCATCACGGCCTTACCAAAACACTCAAAAAATCACAAAAAAAAATCAATCAATTCACAAAGATTACAAAAATTTCACATGTATTCTTCATCAGACAATCTTCATGAGACAAAAATTACAAAAATCTAAACAATCCAACAAACATCAAGCTGAATCCACACTCATGTAAATTTTTAACAAAATACATAAATTGATTTTATAAGCCAAAAATCAGGACCAATTAAACATAATCTCTCACCCTTAATGCCGATGCTAGCCCACCAATTCGTAATGTTATTCTGAAATTTACAACAATTCAAAGAAATTTCACCTAACTAATGAGACAAAATCCAAAAAAAAATTTATCTCCATTGATACACAAATTAATTCTCAAACACAAAAAAATGTAAAGCCTAGACTCTGACGGATGCTCACCGGAGAGACCTCGCGTGGGTCTCGGCATTTGTAGGTAGGCCGAATAGGGGTGACAATTCGTGTCACGTGTTGTGTTCATGTCGTGTTTTGATCGTTTCTTCTTAAATTTACAGTCAAACTGAACACGACCAGTGACACAAAATTTTTTAAAAACCGCAACGCGAATACGACATGATCACTTTACGGGTTGACACGACATGACACAAAAATGATCTGTGACACGAAATTGACCCGTGAACCTGAAATTGACACAAAAATTATATACTTTTCTTTTGGCCTCGTTCATTTCACAAATTCAAGTTTTCAATTCCAGTTTTGCTACAGTTAAAAATTCACATATAACTTTTTCTGCTACAGTGAAAAGCTTTTCAGCTCAAATTGAAAACTCAAATCCATGAATTAAACGAGACCTTAGTTTTTACTTATTAGAAATAACTTAAAATTCATAACACACTAAAATATAATAACATCCATCAAAATTAAGCAAATAATAATATAAAATTTTGAGTATAACTATTATATATCACAAGTTCATAATGAAATTTAAAATATGTAATGAAAAATATATATTTAGCTTTTTATGAGTTTTGTGTCGTGTTCGGGTTTGGCGGGTCCAATCTGAAATTAACCCGTGCTTTTCGTGTCAATTTCAGGTCGACTCAATTCTAAACTAAACATCTTTTTTCTCAGCCCTAACACCAAAAATTCGTGTCATTTTCAAATTGTGTTGTCATATCGTCGTGACTCATGTTGCCAGCCTTGGCCGAAAGACCCACCGTTCAAGAGACCATCTCGTGGTTGCGACCTGCAGTTCGTTGAAGGTGAGGGCCGAAGGTTCTGATGCAGTGAGGCCGTGAAAGGTGGGGGCGAGGGGCCAAAAGCTCAACAAGCGACTGCCGGGGAGGGCAACCTTTTTCTGACGACGGTGATGGCGTGGAGGGTAACGACGTACATGAGCGCAAAAGCCGATGGCTACGAGGGCGGACGTGGGGGCCAAGGTGAAGGTTGGGCGATGAGGTTAGTCTAGAACGATGGCTACGGTGGGGGAGCGGATCGACGATGGAAGACTGGGCGAAAGAGAAGCTGAGGTGCCAACGATGAGTTATGGTGGGAGATGATGAGTTCTAAAAATTTTATCTTTTTTTTTTGAAATCTAATTGGATGAGGTTAGGGTTTTTTAGTAGTTAATGGTTGAGATCTAAAGTTAATAAAATTAATGGTTCAGATTCAATTGGATATAAACTCAAATTTTATAAATATGGGGTAGTATTATAATTATGGAATTTGAAAGGAAGGTGTAATCAGATGTACTATTTTTATTTTAGTTTCAGTGAGCACTATCATTTTGAACCGTTCCATTTTTATCAAGGCCTACGTTTCGTACCCTATCGGTACGGAAAGCAAGGCACTTACCATCGACATTCCCTGAAAATTTTTACGGTCTCTCTTTGTAATTTAAAGGGAAAAGAAAAAGTGATGGGGTGGATTTCTTTGTACGACTTTTACAATATTTTTAAAAATATTTGAAATTCCACCAACGGGCCTATTAGCTCAGTTGGTTAGAGCGTCGTGCTAATAACGCGAAGGTCGCAGGTTCGAGACCTGCATGGGCCAATTGTTAAGTTTTTTTCTTCTTCTTTTAATTTTTTAATAAAACGACTTGTCGTTTCGAAAATCACTATGTGCCCAAAAAAAAAAACAAAAACAAAACGAAAAATCTCTCAACGCAAATCTAAAATTCTCCAAAATCTTCATTCGCGGTGATCGATTACCCTCCAAATTTCTATTTCTTCTTCTTCTTCAATCCTACACAGAAAACGACAATGGTAAATTCAACGAAAATTCTTGACGTATTAAAAAAAAATTCTTGTTTTGATCGAGTTGGAGTTAATTAAATTTCTGATTTTTGTTTTGTTGTGAATAAAAATTTTCCAGGTTTGCTTGATGTGTCTAGTGCCTCTCTTCCTGATCCCCGTCGTCAACGCACTTCCTCTTCTTTTCTATTACATCATGGTACGTTCCGATCAAATAATGTTTTTTGTTTCAATTAATTTTGTCAGAAAATTATCTGATTTTGATTTGAAGCTGATAGTTTTGAGAGAAAGCATTGTTTCTTAGTATAATTTGTGCTTCAATTTTTTTGTTCTTTGTTTTTGGGGACAAATATCTGATTTTGTGTACAAGCTGGTAATTTTGAAGGAAATGATTGTTTTTCAGTGTAAATTGTGCTTCAATTTTTGTTATTGCTCGTTTTAAGGGAAAAATTTATGGGCTTCAAATTTTGATTTTGATTAGAAGCTGATAGTTTTGAAAGAAAAGATTGTTTTTTTTTAGTATAAATTCTGTGCGCTTCAATTTTTTATTTTGATTACAATACAAGCTGATAGTTTTGAAAGAAAGGATTCTTTTCTTTTTTTTTTGGTATAAATTGTGCTTCAATTTTTGTTGTTGTTTGTTTTTAGGGCAAAATTTATGGGCTTCAATTTTTTATTCTGGTTACAATACAAGCTGATAGCTTTGAAAGAAAGGATTTTTTTTTTTTAAGAATGTATAAATTGTGCTTCGATTTTTGTTGTCGTTTGTTCTTTAGGGCAAAATTTATGGGCTTCTTGGGTGGGAGTACAGGAAGCCAGAGAGGGCTCCTCCGGCATGTCCGTACAACCCCTCAGCTAATAAGAACACCAAAGTAAGTGACTCTGATCAGGTTTCTCTTTATGAGTGTTTGCTTAGTTTATGACCAATCAATTTTGTGCCTCAAATTTTGTTTATTGGAAAAAATTGTTAGATTTTTTTTCCCCTCTTTTCGGGGGGGTTATAATTTTTGGTTATTATTTTGCCTTGTGTTGGTACATTTATTATGAGAATAGTTTGAGCAAAAACAGTTGTGATATAACTAGAGTGCATGGTGTTTTGGAGTGATGAAGCAATGTGGATAGTGATTAGAGCTTGGTATATGGTGTAAGATAAGATAAGGTGGGGTTTTTAAATAGCTTTAGAGCTTGCTAATTTTGTGCCTTATTTTTGTTTATTGTGAAAATTTGTGGGTAGTGTAAAATGTAACAGTTGTCCATTTTTGAGATGCTAGTCTGAAATGGTTGCAGCTTGTTGCGTAGGAATTGAAGCGATCATGGCTGTTGGGAAGCCAAATGTTGTTAGTGAGGAATAAATTTCATTTATATATAGAGTTGCTGTCAGTTCTTGTCTTGAATTGATACGTTCTAAGAAAACAATTCAAGCGAAAATAATTGTTGATATAACCATAGTGCATGGTGTTTTGGATGACAAACTTGGATGTTTGAATTCAGCAATGTGGATAGCGATTAGAGCTTGGTAAAGCGTGTAAGATAGGATGGTGGGATTTTGAATTAGTGTTAGTTGAATAGTATATCGGGTTTAGTTTGTCTGGAAGATCACTGACATGGGAGGTAAGAAAGTAGGCAATTGATCTATAGCTTAGCCTTCGAACGTGTTGGAAACACTCTGCTTGTTTGTCTTTGAAAAATCGGTCTTACAGGCTGAGTCTGGAGATGCATTTTTTAAGAAAGAAATTCATAAGCAGTTGATGTTTGCCACTTGAAAGACTGATTGAAGCTGAATATTTGATTGTTTATGTCTGAGATCAGACATCAAGTAGAACTTTATTTGTGTTGCTTCTTTGCTTCTAATTAGAATATTGAAGATGGGTTGAATTTCTTTTAAAAGCTTTGTGTAGGTATGAGAAGGAATAAATTTTTCATTCCAAGGAAATAAATAGCGATTTTCTATTTTTCTATTTCGACATTATAAGACGTCACTTATTCTACCGATTATCCGTCGGTCGATTTTTATTGATATTATGCAAGTTAACACCCAGAAACTAACAACCCGAATTATTGCTTCATACCTAGAAACAACACTAGTTTCCATGATTGTAGCTACGTGTACCGCTGCTTTCTCCTACACAAACTTGTTTCTTTTTTATTGCCATGGTTGCTTTCATGTTGTTGTTACTTCTTTTGTTGTTCAATGTCTCCCCTTAAGTGGTCACTGAATTTGCATGTCAAAACAGGTAGGGGAAGGGGCTGAATCCAGTCCGGCAGATCCTGTATCGAAACCGGTAGATCATGGCAAGGAAGAATGAACTCGGAAACACACCCTCCCTCTTTTCTATCCCGTCGGATTTTAAAACCTTGTATGTAAGAATCTGAGCCTTGTTGGTGGCAAGGAAGGCTTGACCTTTTGAATCGTTTGGGTGCAAAACAGAACTAATTTTTACGTACTTGATTAAAATAAGATGTTGGAATTTAAAAAAATTTCATCTAGTTACTTTGTTTTACCCTTTCCTTTTCTCTGTGGTGTTCTTAATAAAACTTTTCCATTTTGGTTGGCTCCGCCATAGGCGGCTAATCCCATGATACCGTTGAAAGGTGTGGTTGGAGAACCGAAACCAAACCTTATAATGAGCTTCTACTCTTCCAACTTATAGTCTTAGAAAGAGAAAAAAAAATGCTTTTGTTATGAATTTATAGTTATGAAGCGCACGAGTAACAATATCTTCTGGTTCCAATGTCAAATCTAACCTTTCATGCTTACAAGTTCGTAGTTTTACAAAGCCTTTTTTACCTCTTCAAACTTACAAAAGAACAAAAAAGCTGCTGTGGGAAAGAGAACTTATTTCCAGTAGCGTAGTGAAATTTCCTAGAAATAACTATACTTGAATTATGGAAGGCCTAAAAGAAAAACCGTAAGTGCAAAATTGCAAATTATATGAAAAATGCTTAGGGGAACCACCAGTATTGGACACTTCTATCTATAAATTTTATGTTAGAATTATTTTCGTTTTACGTGTATTTTTTTGTGAGAAAAAAATATTATAAAAAATTATAAATTATGATTTAAAATTAAAGATGAATACAGAAAATAAACGTCTCTTTTATCTCCTTTTATCTATACATTTCATGTTATAGGATCGATTTTCTATTCGTAAATAGTGTATTATAATATTGTTCAAATTATAATGGCTTGCGGAGCTTGAGAACTGTGCAAAAATGTGTGAATAAGAGCAGAAAAGAAGAGGAAAAAAAGGATGACACGTCCACTCAAAGCAATATCTGGCTGTCTGCTTTGGAATTCTATCTAATATTGAAAAAGTGGGGTCGTTTCGATTAAATGATTTTAGCTTTTGCGAGCCCTCCAAGACTATATCCATTTGGTGAATCTACGGAAACGATTTTGTGGGGTCTCTCATAGAGATGGTTGACAGGTCAGGACCTCCATTTTCTGTCTCTTTGACGTTGAAGTGAACACTGTATAATGGGCTGTAGACTTGGTCCACTACTAGTACCATAAACCAGAGCCCAACTTAGTAGAAAGGACGTGCCTTTTACAGTTTGTGCGTTTGTGCGTGTATAGATAGGTGACATCTTAAGACCTCGTTTGTTCAGTTTACAGATTTAGGCCTCGTTTATTTCGTAAATTCGAGTTTTCAATTCAAGCTGAGATGTGATATTTTTAGAAAGTTTTTCACTGTAGTAGAAAAAGTTAGATGTTACATTTTTTGAGAGTTTTTTACTGTAGAAACCTAAAACTGAAAACTCGAATCGGTGAAATGAACGAGGCATTAAATTTTTAATTTAAGTTAAAATGTGATTTAATGTAAAAAAATTTCACGGTAAAAGAAAAAGTTAGATGTACCTTTTTATGAGAATTTTTAACTGTAATAAAAATTAAAATTGAAAACTTGAATTAGTAAAATGAATGCGACTTAAGTTTTTCACCCGTAGAGTTTAACAAATGTAACTTTTCTCGTATTTCTATGTAACATCGATAAATGTAAGCCTCGTTCATTTCACTGATTCGAGTTTTCAGTTTTATGTTTCTATAATAAAAAACTTTCAGAAAATGTCACATCTAATTTTTTCTACTACAGTGAAAAGCTCTCAGAAAATGTCACATCTTAGCTCAAATTGAAAACTCGAATCCGTAAAGTGAACAAGGCCGTAATTTTTCTTGCATTCCTATGTAACAAAGATCATATGTGTGTGTAACACTTAATGTTACATGTGTTGGACTACATGTTTTGGATGTTACATTAAAGCAAATTACGTATTACACAAACGCATGAACGATATTATAGTATTTTGATAACCTTAATTATAAAAGCATTAAAAATATTAGTAATTGTCTATTCCAAGTTTGGATGGTCGTGTTCTTCCATATTATAGAAGGAAATCTGGTTTGGTGAGTAGTGTGACTAGCGTAACATTTTCTCTAAGGTTATGCTTCTGATGTTTGGTGCTTTACTTGGCAGCTAAGAAAAACCACATGCCACATATTGGCGGTGGAAACGTTTGTCCAGTTGTTATATTATATTATATTATATTATACGCGTCAAATTTGACACAAATAAAGATGGTAAAAGGAAGCAATTAGAAAGATGCACTAGAAAAGACATGCCGAGAATCATAAAAGTTATAAACTTGTTTGATTTAGCATAATTGGCAAATTGTCTTACTGCTATACAATATTGGTTGGTAAAAGCTTTCTATCTCATGTTCATAATTTTGGTGTGGATTACTCCAATCTTTAGCCACGCTTGCAATCTCAAATCGCCTCTTATAATATCTAATATTGAATATTCGAGAATATTATAGTAGGATAAGAAAAAAAAAATACAAAAATACTATATCAATATGACTTATTTTTAAATAGTTTATATCACATTAAAATCACATCATATATTAATCAAGACATGACAACTTAACAAAATTTAATGAAAATCTTATGGTTAATAATAATTGTGTTCTATCGATATGGTATCTTTTTTTATATCATATCATAGGATCCTCCATTTTTGAATGGAATCTTTGTCCACCCGCTATAAACGTTTATGGTTCTCCTAATTGTATCCTCTACCCACTTTTGCCTACCACAATTTTACATTATTTTTCCCTCAACTAGTTTGGTCCCCCCTTTGAATATTCAAAGCCGCTTTTCATGAAACGTTATTGTATTATAACATTAGGATACCATCCGATTACTTAAGTACACTTTTATCACATTGCCTTGTCATGTTAATAATTAATTAAGGCTAATTCAATTTTTATTTTTGTCCATTGTGACCAATTAAATTAACTTTTCCTTTGGTACAAAATGTTTGGAAGATAATTGGGCCAAGTCCTTTTCCTTGGCCACTTGTTGGGTTGGGACCCCACAAGACCACGTATTCCAACCGACAAGGCAACCGGCCATGGAATAATTGTCCAAGTCGGCTGCTGAAAATTATTAGAATAATATGGTGAAAACACTATAAATATATTTTCAAAAAGAAAAAAAACACTATAAATATGGATAATTATTGTCTGATAATTTAGAATAATACGAAACATCGTGTTGTGTTAGTATTGTTTTCACATGTGTAATTATGTTTATGTTTGTATAATACAATATTTATATCATGATCTCATCGCCAATATGAACGAATTATATATATTTTCCATTATATGTGTTTTCACTGTAGCAGATGTAACAAATGATAATTAAACTAAATAATCAAGGTTATTTATTTCATTACGACCTCTTCATCAGAAATTGTATGTAAAAAGGAAAAAAAAAAAAGAAAAATAAATCTTCTACTTCTATTTATATTATATTTATATTTATATTTATTTATATTATATACTAATTCAGAATGAGTTTCTTTGGATGCTTGACAAAACATTTCTCGTAAGTTTTTTTTTTAACTTTTTTTTTCTTACACTTTTATTTTTATTATTTTTATTATTTTTATCCTTCTTGTTTTCTTCTTCCAATATATATATATATTTTTTTTTTGAGAATGAGCTTTTAAGTAGAGTTCCATTTGTAATTGGTATTTTATTTCTTATTTTCTTATTTTTTTACTTTCCCCTCTTTTTTCTTCTTTTTTTTTTTCTGTTTGTCCTTTTTCATTCTTATCTTTTTTACCCTATCATAAATATATTTTTTCTCTTTAATTTCTCATTTAAATGGTTTCTTCCTTACATATCCCTCTCTATTTTCTTTTCTTTTCTTTAATCGTGTTGTCCTTATAAAAAGTTTCTTAAGTGGAGTTCCCCCTCTCTTCCTTTTTTGTCTTCCCCTTTTTTTCATTTTATATATTTTTTCCCACTATACATTTTTTTATTATTTCTCTAAATGAGACTCTTATAAATATATTTTTTATTTTTACCTACAAAATCTCGAGTGCGTACTTCAACTAGTTTAAATAAAAGAGAGTAGGTCAATATAGAATATGCTCAAGAAAATTGGCAAAAAATATTGGAAAAAAATAATAACATACTTTTCTCCACGTTTAACACATTTTCTAATTGACTGATCATGAATACTTTATTGGGTAGTGGCATGAATATTTCAATAATTTTTTAAATGAGGCCCAATGCTTTCCAAAGTGTAAAGGAGGAATTAGCTTTAAGAACATGGAGTATATAATAATATTCCGACAATCGATCATTGGGTTAATCATGAACTTAGTGGTGACACTTTGGAAAGAAAGTAAGAATAGAAATATTAACTTTTAATTACATGTGTTCCGCTTTCCTTATATCATTATGATTCATGTATGTCCGTTTAGTTCGCTGATTTAAGTTTTTAATTCGAATTGAGATGTGATTTTATGTGAGAGCTTTTTACTGTAGCAAAAAAGTTAGATGTGATTGTTTGTGAGAGCTTTTTACTGTAGCAAAACTCAAATTTTAAACTCGAATCAGCGAAATGAACGAGGATTTTTAGCTAAATATATCTAGTAAGAAGTGACTAGCTATTTATTTTTTTATTTGTTTTGACATAAAGTAGAAATTAAACAAAGTTATTTATATTTTAAACTCAAAAAATATTAAAATAATCTACGTTTAACTAAAATGGAGAGTGTGGTTAGAGTGACTTACTAAGAGCAACTCCAACCATACTAGCTATTTCATGTTTTAGCTAAAATAATTAATGATTTAACTAGAATTTAATTTTTCTTCACTCCAACCATTAGCTAAATGGTTAGGATAATCAATTTCACACTAGCTAAATATAGCTAGCTATTTAATTTTTTGTATTATTTTATTGTTTAAAATTATAATAACTGAAGTTATTTATATTTTTAAACTCAATAAATATTAAAATAATTTATACTTAGATAAAATAAAGAGTATAATTGGAGTGTATCACCAAAAAATGTAAGCTAAAATAATTTTCTAGTCATTTTAATTAAATTTTAGCTAAAATTTAGAGAGCTTCCTTAGAGATATTCTAAAAAATTATTAGTTAAAATAACTTTCTAACTATTTTAGTTAGAATTTAACTAAAATTTAAAGAA